TATATATATATATATATATATATATATATATATACACACACGCGCACTTTTTTCCTGTGTACTGGAAGCTTCACAAATTAATAATGTAAATGTAAATTTGCTTTCTACAAACCAAGTCACCAGGATAAGTTCCTGCTCTCCAGTGCCATTCCATCCCTGCTAATTCTCACAATCAGCTGTGACATGATGCTCAATGATTTTCCTTCATCTTGTGCAGCTTTGAGGCTGAACTCCTCCCGGCTATGTCTTGCTTTGCTCTCTACTGCCACTGTAACGCTCGAGAGGAGGGGAGTGAACAGGGTAATGAATGCGTGCACAGACAAGTGCGTTCAACTCCTCTAGAATTCCTCCAGCAGAGATGTGCGTTTATCCGGCGCGATTTCTCAAATGTTGCTCTCTACATTCTTTAGTTTCTTTCTTCGGAATTGTCATTTTGACCCACCCTCCATCTAAAACACGTGCAACTTTGGGAGAGCTTGGCAACCAGGTAGTGGACAGCTGTACAGCAGCATGCCGTTTCTAGCAAACAGTATTCCCTGGATCTTCGCTGAGTCAATCCATGGCCACTTCGTTTGTGGAAGTATATTCAGCTGGTTTGATTGACGCCTAAGTGGAGGGAATACGCAGACGGGCGAGGGAGAATGGCTTCGAAAGAGCGACTGTACGAGCTGTGGATGTTATATTACACTAAGGTGAGTCACAAGCAGGCGATAGCGCGAGCCACTCGACACCTGTTAGCTTCGGAGTTTATGTTGTCGCAAACTTGCCACTGTCATTTCATATCATATCATGTCGCATCCTGCATATAGTTAAAAGGCAAGAATACTCGCCATAATTCCTTGCCCCTTTGTGTAGAAACAGTTTCAGGAAGTGCGTCCGTGGTTATATTTTTTGGGAAGGTTGCGCGTGCACGTACACAGTGAAAACATTTGTCTTTCGCTTAATATTTCATGTTGTTATGAAGCGACTGACAATTGTGATGACAAGGACTGATGATATTGTGGCTAAGCATAACGCTATGGTTCATCACAACAGGTCGATTTGATGCTTACAGTTATTCTGTGTAGTTCTAGTGTTTACCTGGGAGGCAGGTAATGCCATGCCTCTTCCTGCTCATTTCTCTTTTTCTTTGGATTTTGCAGATAGTCTCGAATAGACAACGTGGTTTGCAAGTTCTTTTAGTTGAAATAAATCAACAGCAATGCAGAGAATACAATGTAGGCTATTATTTAATGTTTAATTTTAAATCTTTAATCACAATGCCGGGGAACTTTAACTAGGCTACATGCTTGAATTGTTTATAGTTTATTTAAAATATGCATTTTATGTATTATTGCTGAAATGCATTATGTTTACTCATGAATTAGCTATGTCCGATTCGCGAACGAATCGTTCTTTTGAGTCGGATCTTTTTAGTGAATCATTTGAACCGGCTCCTAACGATTTGTTCACGAAAGAACGATAGTTCATCTTAGTTCACGAATCGATCCGAGCAGTTCTCGTCATCAGTTTACTGACTCGTTGCATAGAGAATTGTATGTTTACATTTTGAGAGTTGACAGTTTTATCAGCAGTTTTATGACTTTGTTTTTATGAGCTTAATCGTGGTTGTAACAAAGTGAGCTGTGGGGCCTGTGAAATTACAATGCAAACCGTTTATAATAAAGATTAATACAAAAAAAGAAAAGAATGAATAAAAGAAAGAAAGAAAATATCCAAGCGAATTTTCCGTGCTGATTTTTCACAGGTGTTTTACCAGTATTTTGATTTGTGTTTTAGGGTTAAAATGTCTGTAAAGTTAATGGATAATGTCCTGGCTGGCATAATAATAATCACTATGTGTACCTATGGATTTTTTTCTGAGACATTTAGAGTATGTAATATGCCATTAAAGGATGTCAGGGGCCATGTGATAATGTCATGACTTAAAAGAATCGCTGAATCATTTTTTTAGCCAGTTGAAAGAAACTATTCTGGAATAACCTGATTCACAGAAATGAGTTGGCTTCCCTTCACTATGAAAAAGAAATGAACATGCCACATTAAGAATGTTTATGTTGACAACACCCTCTGGCGGAGTAGTGCATACAAAGACCACACTGCACTCTTGCACATTTTTGAGAGTTGGGCGTCCATGTGTATTCCTTCTGAAACTCTGTCATGATGGCCACTTTACTGGTCAGCAGATGAAGTCAGCTGTAACGGCTCACTATAGCAAGTGTTCTTTATGAATGGCTACCATGGTAACCAAAACAGCAGGTGCAGGATACAAGAAGCACCAGGGGTCACCATAGAGAAATGTCTACTTGCAGATCACTGTTTTAATTTGACACTCTTTAAAAAATATTGTATAATTAGCAGATTGCATGGAAAAGAAGCTTTATAAATTATGCAATAGTGTTCCAGTCTGGTCTTGCTGGTCTTGGCACAAAGTTCTCCAGATAGCTGGGAGTGTTTCTCTAGATCTCATTTGTTTTATAATCTAAAAAGCAACCGTTTGTCATTTCTTTCCCTTTTATTAATAACTTCACACATATAGCTAACAGGGATCCATACCAGACATGCAAAGTAGATGGACGGGTTCCTCTGACTTGTTGCAGCAGGCAAATGGGTCTGCCTTTTTCCACCATTACACTGATATAAATGTGTATTAATATAAATGTATTTTTTGTGAAACAAGCATAAAAGGCGTATGTGATTTTTGCACACCCATATTTGAGTTAGTTTCCCCTGCATGGTTGACCGCACAATGCTTTCCAGTGTTTTGAATCTGGTTTGAAACACCCATTTTAAATGCCTCTGCTAACTACTGTCTGCTGCGATTTAAACAAGATAAGGTTGAAAATGTGCTTGTTTTTCTCTGGGCTCATGAGGGCTTGCTCTATTTTAAACCCATTTAAAGCTCTCCTCACCTATTATGCCAGTCATTTGACCATAGAATGCGTCCTATGTCCTCCCAATGTAATGAGGTCTCATGGGAAGCTTGTAAATTTGGACTGACACAATGTGTGTCCTTTAAGCTTCATTTTATTTTATTTTAGTTTAGTTTAGTTTAGTTTTGGAATTTTCTGCAAACATAATTTTTAATCAGAATCTCATAACTGGATCTTCCAGTGAAAATTACAGACTTCTCGTTGGTGACATATGTAGGACATTTCATCATTTAGTCCACTTTCTCTTCAAAGTGTCAAATATAATAAGATATATTATCATCCAAATTTATCTTATTTTCTATCAAACGGTTCAAATTTACAACACTGACAGCAACAGAAACAGCAGACGGGCTGAATGACAATGCAAATTCACTGTCTGTCAGTAGGTGGCACTTTTGGACCAGAAGAAATAGAGTGGTTACCATGTTTGCCCCTGTAAACAAAGCAGTGCTGCACTTATAAACACTATTTTAACTTGGAAAAACGTGAAATAACTTGGAAAAAATGTCAACAAAACTTTTCGGAAGAAAGCCATTTTACTTTCATTCATTATGTAAATACCGGTAAATATGCTCCCGCACCTTGCTCATCTTCCTAGTGAACATTTAGTGAGTGGCACTATGAAAAAACATGCGTGCAAGGTAGGGATGTAACGGTATGAAAATATCTTATCATGATTATAGTGACCAAAATTATCACGGTTATCGGTATTATCACGGTATTGTTAAAATGCTTATGGAAAATCTGAATTAGAGCTCTTTCCCGTAACCTCCGTGGACAAAGCAGTATTGTGATTAAGAACACTTCCTTTAGGCATTACGTGGAGCGAAGATGAAAACAAAATGCCATCGAATCGTTTCTGAAGACAGTCAGAACCTTCAGCGGTACATTCATATAATTCATTCATTCATATATTCATTTGTATAATTCCCTTAGCACCCTTTTAAAACCTCCCAGCTTTTCCGCCCTGTTTTCACTCAAAACGAAACTACTCTGCGTGCTGTGCGCACGTGAGACTGTTACTGAAAACTGTGCTTTATGCTGGACTCTGCGTGCTGTGCGCACGTGAGACTGTTACTTAAAACTGTGCTTGATGCTAGACAGTATTTATTTATCTAATTAACTCTTATTATGAGTTGTTCAAATCGCGGTAATCTAATACGGTTTAAATGATAATTAAAAGATGAAACGGTAATACTAACCGTGGGGAATTTTAGCATGATTTATCGTCAAACCGGTAATCGTTACATCCCTAGTGCAAGGTCTGAGGTGAAATGAAATGATTTTGTTTTCCAGATATTCACTTTTTCGTTCACATTTTTTTTTAAAAATGTAACATTAATGACTACATTTTGACTAGTATTTCAAGTGTCAACTAGCAGCTGCAGTTCCATTTAGTCGGCTAGTCAACTAGTCTTGCACATCCCAACTGTACAGAAGAAAAAAATCTGCCGTTACTTTTTCATTGTCAGTTTAAAGATGTATTCAGTAATATTTGATTTCTGGCCACTGGCCAGTATGGCAGTCATCTTGGACTTACTGACACCTAGTGGTGTGGATGTTGCATTGCACAGCAGCAAATGTTTGCGTTGTGGAAATACATAATTTGCTGTCAGACATGATTAATGTATTCTGTGAGGAAATGTGCTCAGTTAGGGGAAGGCTACCAAGACAGAGTGAATAGTATTTGGTTGGTCATGTGATCTTAAGATGGCTGCCCCCATAAGGTGACCCTCTCCATGTAGAATAAAACAGTTTTTATTAAGTTATGGCAGGAGTCTTCATCACATGTGAGTCTACATGACTTTAAACATATTTTTCATTAATTTCTTTAAGTGTAAAACTTTTGTACAGAAGAGCTCACTGTTAAGCAAGTGTATTAGACTGTATGTGGCTGAATACTTCTTCCCCATAAGAGGCAGCTGTACACAATCGCAGAAGAACAGCAAAGTTTAACGTCATGTCATTCCGGTGATTTTGCTGTATTTGTAATAATGTGCCAGCTATTTTTTCTTTTGGCTGCGAGAGCAACACTGCCTCTGTCAGACCACTTCCTCTTGAGTGTGCTGTTCAGAGGACAACATTGATGTGATAAAAACCACTTCCTGTCATGGTTGCTACCATTTGTAACCTCCCTGAACAACCTGTTTGTGAGTTGACAAACACATGGTACACATCATCACCCCATTTCAGCTGAAGACCAATTGAGGAAGAGGTTTTGGAAAATAACATGTTTGTGTGTTGTGATTTTTGTGAGTTTGAGGGTTGACGCTCTATATTCTGTGGAGGACCTTCATGCAGGATGATCTACAAATAAACTTGAGCTAGTTATCTAGATCTGTATTCGAAATCGCTTTCTACAATGGAAGAAACAGTCCACCCAACGATGACAAAAATATTGTCATTTATGTACCTCAGTGTCATCATTTTTTTCATGAAAAACAAAATGAGGTTCTGGAGCTTCTAGTTGATGAGGAAAGTTAATGGTGATTCTTACTGCAAAATTCCTATAAAAAAGGACAATAAAAGCACCACTGGAGTTGTTGAGTAAGATGAGGATGAGTAAATAATGACAACATTAACAGAACATCATAGAATCTTTTACAATTCAAAAAAAATTATCATCAACATGAGGTGACAGACCTGCTGGATGCTCTCATGGTTACGCAATCATGCATATTACGTTATATTACAACTATTTTTCAGTTGTTTGTTGCACCTCGCACGTGCTCCTCCTAGGAGGAGACTAACTTGGCAGG